TGCTCGTATCCCTACTGTCTGACTTGATTAGATACGTGTCTGGTACAGCTTTTGGCCGGCAACTGCGTGTTTGCCCCGCAGTTTATTTCGTTCCAATAATAGCAAAGTCATCAGACCAAACGTGACAGCCACCCATATTGCAAATCCTGTTTAATGTGCTCCCATGCGTTCCAAGTGTGTATTATCCCAACAACTATTTGAAGAGTGTCTGTCTGTCTGTCTGTCTGTCTGTCTGTTGCTGTTAATGTCTACCTGTCGGTGAGTCTACCCGTTTGTCTGTGTGTATGTCTCTCTGTCTGTCTGTCTGTCCGTCTGTCTATGATCAGTATAATGTCGTTGCAGGGTAACGATCGAGGTAAAAGCCGATTTGTCCCTCAAACCTCCTCAGAGTATAACGCTGTTACCGGAGGCAATGCGTCAAAAGGCCAAGCGGTCCCATTTCAACCCCACAGATCAGGAGAGAACAGTGCTTAATAGTCCCCTCTCGACCAGCCGTGCTTTCCCGTCAGCACCAGTTTAGCACATTTTTTCCTCAGTCCTCAGGTAAGACACCACAGTCCTCAGGTAAGAGACAGCCTCAATTGTACGACTAAGCTCACGAGTATGAATATCACAGAAAAGATACTTGAAGATTAGGCTGGACGAGTCATGCAATGAGCAAAGTGCAGATGGCGTATTTCGTTCGAGGAAAAATAAAAGTTGTGTTGTCATGATACCTTTTTCAACTCAACATTATGGGATTTTGCGAGTTAATTATCACCTCAACAGCCGCCCAGTCAAGGGGGTGGATCACACTTGTCTAAATGACGTTTTGAAGATGTGCGTCTGTCTGTCTGTTTGCCTGAATGCTTGTCGTATTTTGCCTTTTGAGCTGTGTGCAGATTGAACAGCGGGTCGCTTAAAAATGTAAAATGAATGCAGTGTACATGTGCACGAGACGATATGCCACATATCACGTGCACAACAATTGTAAAGACAGATTTTCACGTTTTATACATCTCGGCGCCCAGAGCTGGTGAAGGCGTGAATCCAACTTCAAGGTGTCCACCAACGTACCGGCCGCAATTCCTTTAATCAAAACGAGCGTGTGGGACGTAGACCTGCGCCAGTAATCATCGTGCAAGCTGGGAATGTGGGCATTTGGAAAATGGTAGCAAATGCAATACGCCTTCGTTGAAACTGTAGCCAGGATCACGGCAAACTTTACACCACCTCATGCGCCGATTCATTGCCTGCAGTTACCATCTAATTATTTGCCATTCTCTGCTCTGTGCTGTTCAAGCATTAACTTTACTTTACTTTGCTAACGGTTTGCGATTTCACATGTTCGCGTCTTTAAAATGGCCGCCGATCGGTCGCTTAGTCCCCGCCGGCAAGAATTTCGAATAAAACGACGAAAAGTGCACGCGCCGAGTGTTGTCGGAGTCCGGTAGCTGTCATTTATTCATTCATACATTCATTCATTCGTTGCGACGAAAAAGGTGGGCCGCAGTGATAATCGAATGCGTTACATGAATCCCCTGCGCTCCGACATGTTAGAGAAACCAAGCATGTTGAAAGAAGAACTTGCAAAAGGTGCCGCGAAGGACTAGTGAAATGCAGCTCGTGTGAAACGGAGCTCGCTGCTACGGCAAAACAGCACTCCAGGGCTTCTCGGGCGGGGGTTTTGGAGTTACTGCTGTGTGACAGCACCGAAACATGGCGGCTGTGCTGAACAAGTGGCAGCGGCGAAATTAGGGAGATGTAGCATTACATTGGTAGCAGGTGCGGTTTGCTTGAAACTTTTGGCATGAGTAACAACATTTAAACTACAGTGATAATCTGGAAAGCGTTTGGTAGCAAGTAGATCGTTGGCACCTGATACTTGTGGATCATTTTGTTTTACTGCTTTCTGAGCCTTGATGGCTTCGACGCAAGAGCCCATGCTGCTATACAAAAAAACCGGCTAATACATTAAGTATGTTTTTCGTGACCCACATACGTCCCTGACAGTCAGCATATCACACCCGTTTTCCGTCAGGTATTCCGTCGGCCAGGGGTCAGATCGGCCAGAAAATCGTATGAGCAATTGTCGACGTAACCAGAAATTATGCCAACAAAAATGATCCCTTGAACGCCGCAGGTCTTTCCATGCGTTTTCAAAGAGTTGGTCCCGTTGTTAAGCGTAGTAAGCCCACAAGTAGGTACTTGTAATGCAACCATTTGCTGCCATCCACACGTAGTTGTTTCAGCACACTGCTTTTGTCTCAAGCAGTCGCATTGTTTGAACGCTATTGACACGCCTCATATGTGCATATGTTTGCGGCGTTGTTTATTTAAACAGCTGTTTGCAAACAAGGTCCATTATCCCCGTTAAAAACTATGCACGACTATTAAAAGAATTGTGAAAGCACAGACAACAGCGGAAGAAACTTTGTAAAACCTGCGGTGGCATTCCAAGACAGCGCTGCCAGCGACAATATAGATTAGAAGAGCCGATGGTCGGGACAAAATCAGCCTCAAATTCGGAGTGGTCGACAGGGATCCTGACAGGACGCGTTCCAGCAGGGATCCTGACAGGATGCGTCCCACCAGGCATTCCTCCGAACAGGTCACATAATTCAGATGTTATCATGGCACCACTGTCGTAGCACGCCAAACGAGCACGCCACATCTTTAGTCAAGACAAATGCTTCATTGTTTATTCACACGGAAGTATTTGTCTTCTGTGAATAGATAAGGCTGGATAATTGGTAAGAAATGGACATAGCGAACGGAACAGCGCAGAAATAGGACGACGTTGTCACCAGTAACTAATGGTCTTCTCGTCAAGCTTTCAGCTACAGGCGGCTTTAGAATCCGCAGAAAAAATGCATGTGTGATAGAAATGTGGTTAGTTGTACCAACTTTGGTTTGTGCAGCTGGCTTCAAGATTCATTAGGCTGGAAACCAATTTAAGCAGTTGCAATTTGAAGTGAACGCGTGTCTTCCTCATTGGTTATTCCCACTGGCACCGCGCGCGCCTGCTCATTCACGCATACACGCACACGCGCACGCGCGCGCGCGGTTAAGGCATCCAAGATGACATTATTGGCCTAAGACTGTCAGCGCTCGTTGACACCATTGACCCTGACACCAACGAACCCTGACCCCTGCGGACCTTGGCATCACCGGTCGCTGACAGAGACCTCCAACGCGGATGAGCCTGCCCCTGCACCAGTGGGCCCTGTACCAGCGGACCCTAAGCCAGCACGGCTGGGCCCTGACACCAGCGTCTGGTGACACGAGAGGATGCTGGTGCGCCGTCCCTCGCCGGCCTGACTCGTGCCCCGCGCCGGTCGTCTGGTGACGTAGGCGGCCTGCGCTGCCCTCAGGCCGCAACAGGACTGGGAATTGGCCATCCGCCGACGCTGGGCAAGCCGGCTAGAGCCAGCAGGCCAGCAGGCCGCCAGCGGAATAGTTCTCACGACGTTATCCTGGTAAACAACGCGCTCTCGGCCGGGTCTCATGAGATAAAGTCATCGGCTCATTCTCCTAAAAGCACACACGGCCGGTGGAGCAACGCGCTCTATTTCTAAATTATTTTTCAAAGCCGTTGGCGATTTAGATGGCACGTTTAACTTGTAATGGCCGGGATGCGTGGAACAGTTCTCAGTTAGTTTCGTAGCTTCACTGCTTGAGCTGGATGTAATCAGGCGCTTTAGACTGATCGCGTTTGCATGTACACACGCGTATGGCTTCATCAAAATGCATTGTTCATTGTTTCACGCTTCGATCGCCGTTTAAGTGGTGCTGGGAGGCATGCGATACGTTGTGATCTTGTGCAGTTTTAACACCCTTCACCTTAAATATGGCTCAAAATGAATCAAAGTGCACGCAATTTGTGACGAAGAGAGGAAAGTGGGTTTTGCGGAAGCAGCCTCGATGGCATGTGTTCGCGGATCACACAAACCACGGATTTAGGGTCCGTTCATGCGTTGAAACGGCTAGGATCGCAAAAGTCTTATGCGACACGGGATAATATCTCATTGGATTCAAAATTCAGCGAGTACATGTTGAGTGAATTGAGTGGGTCTGCATTGTTAGGTTGTAGCGTTCCACATGCTATTGCTCCTCTTATATGTACTCTGCACATTACAGCTGGATAGTATTTGACGGATTCCCGTGATTTTTTGCACATGTTTCTGTCGTGATGGATTAAACCGGATCGAATTTGTAAGTTGTAGAAAGGGTAAAGTGGGTGAACCAGCATTTGGAATGTTGGATCAGGTTGGACTGGTCCCAAGAACATAATCCATAACATAACATAGTGCAGTGTTAGTTTAAAAATAGACAAAAGAATGAAAAATAGTTGTGTTTTACTGATCATCTCAAACATGAGGCATAAAGAGCATTAACTATTGTCGAGGAAACGCAAAATCCGCTTCCATTGAAAGTGTCGATGTAAAGTAGAAATCAGTGCATGATTAACTCCAAAAAATATATAAATGCGTATTTTACCTGCAGAAACCCACTGGGATGACAGGCATTGCGGCCTACGCCGAGAAGAACAATTCCTAAACATCACACTTACCTGTCAAATCTCAGTGAGTACTTCTCCCCATAGATACTCTGCGGAAAGGTGCATCAGCTTTCGCGCCGCGGCTCTGTGGATGCTTTCTGAATGGTAACAGCCGCTGACAAGTAAGCCGCCGTTGATTGCCGCCCGTGAAGAATGACATGGGTGTAGCCGCGCTATTACTAAGGTCAGCCACGTCACTCAGCACCCAAACAAAACGGCGCGACCGCCCGACCCCTAATTGTAATTGTCCTGGACTCGGAAACACGCGACAGCACTGACGGCTCCATCGAGTCCCCATCCTCTCCCCAGCCCCTCTCGCGTCCCGGTTACGTCCCCGGTGGCCGTGCCGCTGGCGGTCACAGCCGTGTCCAGCACGAGACCGTCGCCGCCGCCGCCGCCGCCGGCCAGACGGCCGACGGGGTCGCCATCTTGCGGCAGCAGTGGCGGCGGCGGCGGCGGCAGCGGTCCGTTCGCCAGTCGAGGCTGGCAGGGAGGAGGCGAAGGTCTGTGCGCGCGCGTGCCGGTGAGCCCATGCAGCCGGACGACGTACGGACGGTGGCGAGAGTGTGCGCCAGCGGATAGCCGGGTCCGGAGGCTGCCCACGTCTGCAGCGGCTGCTGCCGAGGTGAGTGAGCCGGGTCTGGAGGCTGCCCACGCTGCAGCGGCTGTGCCGAGGTGAGTGGGCCGGGTTTGGAGGCTGCCCACGCTGCAGCGGCTGCTGCCGAGGTGAGTGAGCAGGGTCTGGAGGCTGACCACGCTGCAGCGGCTGCTGCCGAGGTGAGTGAGCCGGGTCTGGAGGCTGCCCACGCTGCAGCGGCTGCTGCCGAGGTGAGTGAGCCGGGTCTAAAGGCTGCCCACGCTGCAGCGGCTGCTGCCGAGGTGAGTGAGCAGGGTTTGGAGGCTGCCCACGCTGCAGCGGTTGCTGCTGAGGTGAGTGAGCCGGGCTTGTCTGACGTCGGGTCCGTCGGTCGGGGCAAGTCCTGTAGACCGCTACCGGTCTCGGCCCCGGTCGGCAGGCATGGCAGGCAGGCAGGCAGGCAAGATGGCTCGGTGCTGCCTGCTGACCTCCGCGTGTCTGGCGGTCACCGCCTGCCGGCACTCCACGTGTCCGGCGGTCACCGCCTGCCTGCACTCTGCGTGTCCGGTGGTCGCTGCCTGCCGACCTCTGCTTGTCTGGCGGTCACTGAGTGCATGAGCTGCGCCATCGTCGGGTCCGTGAGCTGATAGCGCTGCAGTGGTTTGCTAGCTTGCATTCACACTTAAATTTGCATTCATTGCATTGACTATTGGATGTGCAAAGATCAGAGCACCCCGCCGTTTTTTCAACTTCGCTCACCCCTGCCAAGTTCTGCACACTTAATGTACTGATCGCTGCATTTTACAGCGTCAGCTGGCAGCGTGGTGTCGATATTTCAAATGTTGAGCCAAGGTCCTTTTCGATTAGGAGTGCATAACTAAGGAGTTTAGGAGCAAATGGCAAAGTCAATCCTCAAGGAGCTCAAGCGTTATCGTGCTTGCATCCGTTTTGTGCTGCCCAAAGGATGAATATTTTCTATTGATGGATTCGCGTGAACATTATCCCTCGCCAACAAGCCAGTTTCCACCTTCATCGTACGGGTGCAAAAGAAGTGGCATGGTCTGAGATAACACAAAACGCAAAAGACATCATTACCAATGGTAAGTGGTTTCTCAAGGGCAGGAGCACATTGCTACCACTTATCAGCGAGCACATTTCCTTCATGGGATGGGTGTGCACTGAGATGTGTAAGTTCTCACGGATGGTTAAACCCGTCAGCAGTGAGTGAATTGAAACCAACACAATCGTCTACGGTTGTTTTTTCATTAACACCCACATAGGTAAAAATACTGGAAGCAGTAAGTGAAACGCTGGTTCTCTTCCAAAAGACAGGTGAGACTTCCATCTGCCCTTCCCTCAGATCGACAGCCGGAAATTGGACAGGCATTCCGATGGTAAACGTAATAGCAAGGGATCAAAACAAGTAGTAATTTTCATATCGGAAGAGGGGGCCGATTTATCAGCTCTTTAGTGCTTATTGATCGCGGACATAACGCTCACTCCTCGCCCGAAGTTCGCGTGCTTCTCTCCGACGGACTCCAAAGTCGCGGTAATCAGTGGGTGGGGCTCCGTCTCTACTGCGGTCTGGTATGGTGGGGATTACGTGGCTAACGGTTTGTAACGGTGGAGAAACCACGAGAACAATTATTGGACGGGCGGAACGCAGCAAAGGGTGTGGGAGTGGACCTGTAAATGCCATTGGACACACGGCGCAAAATCGTCCGATCCGCTGACCTACATCCTTCCGTGCCCTACAATCCTGGCCGCCTGGTGCAAGGCTTCCTCAGACTGCGCCACAAATGCCGGCCGCGCTGCTTGGCTGTCCTTTTGGCAAGGGAATGATCCGAAATGATGCGTTAGTAAGAAATCAAGTGAATGCGGAGTGATCAGGACATTGAAATGTAAAGGCTGCCAGAATCTGAAATGAGCGATTAACGTCATGAATGGATTCACCAGTCCCGCACTTTTGATTAACCTTTTGCCTTGCTGATGTGAGATTTTGGTTGGTGAATGCTTGGTATTTTTCCTTGTGTGGCCTGAACTATTCCCGAATTTTTAGCAAGCGTAATTGCAATACCTGCGTTGTAAAGCTACGCCGAGGGTCTCAGGATTCATTTGGGTAATGGAATATCTTACGTCAGGTTTCAGTATGATCACCTTAGATTTGGAATATACTTTTATTACAGTTCTACGCCTAGGCACGATGTCTTCCAGAGAGTCCAGTCCGGCCTTCCAGGGAGTCCAAGCTCGGACCGTTCCGGAGTAACCGCTGATCACGTGCCCTCTGCCCCTCTGCCCTCTTACGACCGGCCGGGTGGGACATAGCAGGTGTGACCGTCCTGGCACTGAATCAAGAGCTGGCAGCTCTCGAGCCATGCAAGGCCTAGCTTGACCTAACTGGCACTCTACATGCTCATCGGCGCTGCACAGGTGCATTGAAATCAGGCATCAGTGCCGTGCAAAAGACAAAATGTGGCGGGCCCCAGATCGGCCACCATCCATCCACAGGCCGCTGCCGTGCCGGCACCGGTGCCGGCGCCGGGCCCTGAACATCACTGCACGTGCGGCAGGCGTGTCGCCGCCGCCCCGGCGCGGCCTGGCCTTGGCCGGGTCAGAAAGGGAGGCACGCTCAGTAACGGGGCGGGCCGGGTTTTTCTCACACATGTCCCGTTGAGTGGGAGCTACGGCCGCGGCCCGGCCGGACCGACACGAGCCGGTCATCGCACGGCTCGCGTCACACTGTACGACGGCCGAACAGCGCGCCAAACCGAGCGTCAGCGTGGCGCCCGCAAACTTCAGATCGGGGGTGCATTTGGCTGTGTGGCGTTTCGCGCGCCACGTTGCCACTGTTGTTAAAAGGCATTCGACGGTGGGATATAGGTGCTTTAGGTGTTTTGGTCAAACCTAAGACGCTTACATTTTCCTGGATGTTGATACAGATACTGTTTTAAAATGATGATTACACTGCTAGAAGCCTGTCATTCCAAGGCTTACACACTCAGCTTGCCCGCTCATTTTTCCCGGACTGCATTTGCCCACGTAGGCACCTACCACGCCGACACAGAATATGTCTGCCTCGGCACCCGCCCCTGCTCAGCTCATACACGTGCACTCAACCAGCCTGGCAGGAAAAGCCGGCTATCTGCGCCCAAGCAGCTGGGGACCGGCTAGCGTGTCGTGTCGCCCATGGTGATTGTGCCGTGTGTGGACTAATTTTGGAGGCATTAGTGCACCAAATGCCTCCAACCACGGAGGTGGCAATTGCGTTCTCGTGGGAGGCGCAGGTGCGTTTAGGCCTGTGTGTCAGCTCTGGAAGTGACAATACGCACAGGTAGCAATTTTCTCGGAGGGCCGCAAGTGCCGGAAGTGGGCGAAACGGTTGGACCGATGGCGGGGTCAGAGGACAATGACAAGGAATTGGAGTTACCACCAGTCAGCTGTAATTTGGGAGTTAACAGCCATAACAGTTATCAGGCACGTGTTTAACTACACTGCGCCCTGTCATGTTTGCGTCATTTACTGTTTCCACTGAGATGTGACGTGTTCGGTATTTCATGTTCTTTTTAATTATGAATAGTCCACTGTCCAATGGATGTGAGTTTGGAGGGGCGGTGCAGCAAAACTGTTTGCATTTTAGACTCGTATCGAGCAGCTCTAAACGACTTAATGGCAGATGGCGTAACGCATGGTAGGGAATGTGCGACTGGGTGATAGTCGGCGAATTACACACAGACCGAATACCCGACACTACACATCTTGGGCTCGTGTGCAAAGCAGGAATCTGGGCGAAGATATCCTACTTGGGATGGTATCAAAAGTCAATACCAGCTCTATAACTGGTTATGTGTTCACTCGATACGCCAGAATCAGAGTCCAGCAGCATTCCTTCCCACCCCCGACGACTCGGGTACTGGCGCGGTGGTGGTGGATGAAAAACAGCACGATTACAAAGACCGATTTCCCTGTAATCTCCGACCCAATGTCCGAGCGTGCTTCCCTGCCTCGTCCGTTTGTCGCCTCGCAACAACCCGTTACCAGCCATCAGACTCGGGTCGGTGCCACCAGCGGACGGAAGCAGGCGCGCGCCGCGTGTTTTGTGGTGACCACCGCCGCCGTCCGGTCCGCCGTCCGGCCGGCGTCCGGTCCGGTCCGGCCCGGCGCCCGACAGATGGTGCTGTCCACCATCTGGCCAGCCGACCCCGGATACAACGGTTATTGTGTCAACAACGCGGCGATCGTCGCGCTCTGGCCGCCGCGGCGGTCGTGGCGCACGAGCGACAAACCACACCGCGGACGCGTGGCACACTGACCCGCCATGCTGTGGCGGCTGGGGTTTGTACGTGTTGGCGTGTGCGGGTCGCCCACACAATGGTGTGGGCGTGGTGTTTGAGCAGGACTGGGGAAGGAAGGCTTTCATGGTCCCGATCCTGCCGATCATCGACGAAACTCACGAGACATAGCCAGTGCCAGCTGTACGTTGTCACCCACCTGAAGTTCCAGCGTGAGCACTCTGAAACACGATGCCGTCAGTTAAAAATTAGCTTAGTCAATCGTATTTGGGGTGCCACTACTGCGTTGAGTTATTTGCCCTGATATAATTCCTTATCTGGAGTTGTCTGCATAGCTGGTTCCAGAAGCTTAAGCGTCAAGAAAATATGAATCACGGCGTGGGACATCATTGTGTGTTTACCCGCCTTAAAAGCAGCTCAAACGCGTAAAGGAAAAACTGAAGAGCTAGTGCTGTCTTGGATAAAGACGCTCTTATCAGTCGGATTGAGTCCTTATTCGGGCTGAGCAAATTGCTCCTTGGTGGCCTCAAAACGGCGATTACTCGTGACCCTGCATGAAAGCCGCATGCCCATTCGGCCGGTTAATTACAATACAGAGCACACGGACCGCAGCGGGGCGTGATGACGTCATATCCGGCGCTGCTGACCCGTCGGTCACCTGCCGAGGCCGGTGCGGCAGCAGGCTGGCTCGCCGCCGCTACGGCCGCCGGCGCGGCGCCGCGCGACCACGCAGCGGGGCTTTGGGGGCGGCCGGGCGGTGGCCGCGAGCGAGCCGGTCACGGCGGCAGCCGCCGCTGCCGGGATTCAGCCGCCTGTCCCCCGCGGTTATCGCGCGTCGTTCGGCGCGCGGCGGCGGCCCGACTGTGATATTCTGGAGGCGGGGCTGTAAATCATGGCTGCATGACGCTCAAAGTGGCCAGGAATTAACTGCCACCTCTCGCGCTGAGCGAAATGGCTGGGAGCCGGCCATCAGAGGTGGTGCAATTACAGGGAAGACATGCTCATTGCTGAGTCAACTATCTCCTGGCCATTTGCATCTACCATTATCATTACGATATCAGCTCGTCTTAGCTATTCTGGGGTTTGTCAGCTCGTGTGCAAAAGCGATTACAGAAGTGGACACAAACCCGGAGGCTCTCTGCAGCGGCATCTTCAGCCTACTTTGCTTGATATGTTTATGCACTTTTAGAGATGAACCTCCGCTCATTGCACTTGCTAGCAAGACCATTAATCTGTCTGATGCCTGGGCTCGCAGACGGCTCATCCGGGAGTAGACAACTCACCCTAGCGGATCGCGGCGTGGTGCCGATGTCGGCGTGGTGCCATGCCGTGCAGCGCGGTGCCGTGCCGGTGCGGTGCCGTGCCGGTGCGGTGCCGGTGCGGCGCGGTACCAGCGCGGTGCAGTGCCGGTGCGGCGCGGTGCCAGCGCGGTGCAGTGCCGGTGCGGCGCGGTACGGTGTCGGTACGGTGCAGGTGCGGTGTCGGCGCGGTGCCAGAACAGTACGGTGCCGGTGCGGTGTTGGTGCGGTGCCAGCGCAGTACGGTGCCGGTGCGGTGTCGGCGCGGTGCCAGCACAATACGGTGCCGGTGCGCGGACTGGCGGCCGTCACGCCATCTGGAGGCCCGATGGGTCTTGGCCGGCAGGCTGCTATCGATCACCGACCATGCGGCGATTATTATTCAAACAAAAGATGAAACATGAAGTCGCCCGGCGGCCCCGGGCGGCAATATCAATCGGCCACATCGACAGGCCGACGGTCTGCGTCAGCCGTGACCGACCACCCACGGCCGGGTCCAGCGGGCGCCGCGGCACGCGCGCCCCGCGCCCGCCTCTCCGGGCCCGCTTCGTCACCGGCTGTCCGCGGCGCCGGTCTGTCCCTCGTTTACGGGGTCGTGCGCGCAAGCAGGCGTCGTGGCTGTGGTCACAGACGTCGCTGGGCTGTTCTCGTGGTGGCGGAGGATCCGCTGATCTGAACGGCGGTGGTGTCCAGCCGGGGGGGGGGGGGGGGGGGCACGTTGTTCGACTCTGGCATAGTCACGACACATCTTCAATACGTTCGGCACGTCTTCAGCTCCCTCGCCGCGAAGTGCGTTACCTCCGTGCTTCGACAGCAGCGGTCTGCGCCTCATTTCGAGGCTCCGCACCCCAGCAGTAGCAGCTCAGTCCTCACTTGCGCTGGTGGTCATCCGCTGGCCCCGTTCACAGACGGTCACGCTCATGCGCGGAGTCACGCCAGTCACCATTGCAGCGTGCACTGCAACGGTGCAGCGCCAGGCGCTGATGTATCGTTGCAGCGGAACGCTCGCTTCGGCTTTACGACACATCTAGCGGCATCAGAACAGCTACGGCCTCGGCGCCCGCTTTTTACCTCCGTAAAACGAGGCGCGACCATCCCCCTATCAGAGCGGCGGCGCTCTAACTGCATGTTGCCGGCCGGCGGCGCGGCCGCACCGCTCCGCGCCGCGCCCTCCCCCCGTTAAAGGGGCGGCGTTCACGGCCGTCTCGCCCCGCCCGCCGCTGAGCTACGCCCGCCGGCGGCGCTGCGTCGTCGCCGACGGCCGCGCTCGCTGATTTATCTGGCGGTGCCGCCGCCCCGAATGAATGGCGATGGTCCGCGCGGCGGCGCTGCGCCGGCCGCCGCCGCCGCCCGCAGCCACTAACGGGACCGGAGTGGTGGTGTGCGGAGCGCGCGGCGGCCAGCGCACGCCGCCGCCGGCGCTGCGAGCACGCCACGGCTGTGGCGGCGCTCGCTGGCGTGCACACACGCGCGTGTGTGGCGAGAGCGCGGGAGGAGGTAGAGAGGGGAGGAGCTGAGCCCACGCGGACTTGGTGAGGCCAGATGGAAGGGGCGGTGAAGGCAGAGTGCGGGAGGTTTGGTACACAGGCTGACGCGGAGAACGCGACTTGGGACAGAGCAGTGAGGAAGGAAGAGGAAGCCCGCGCCGGGTAAACAGCAGTGTGCGCATGCGCCAGGAGAGTGGAGGTGCAAATTTGGGCAGGGGCTCCCATGCATCCGTCTGCACCGGCACTAGACGAATGTCTGCATTTCGTCCGCAGTGCCAGTGCACGTCTGCGCGGGCACTGGCAGGCGTTTGACAGCAGGAAAAACTGACGGATGCGTCAACACAGGAACCATGCCATTCGTTTGCGATCAATTCCTGAGTAGCTGTTCTCTGACGAAAGATGAAATCGAAAAACAAATATAGGCTAACTTAATTGCGCGCACGTAAGCACAGAGGCAGTGAATGTTATTGTGCTTAAGCAAGGGCATGTCCCCAGGCCGTGTTAATGTATGTAATGGTGATGCGAGTAGCCACTGAATTTGCATTTGCTGATCAGGACCAACGTGCTGAGATGCTGGTCCCTCCCATCAAAATTGGCGAAAGGTCAAATATATCGTAGGCAGCTTACAAAGAAATAATCTTTCGAGTGGCGGCCCTAATTGCTGCACCAAACATCGGGCTCAATTTCAAAGCTGCGATAAAAATCGGGTGACGCGGAGTACTTTTTAGTGTACCACCATGACTCCAATGAGCCCTGAATATGTGAGTGTTTGTGGAACACATATGGCGTGGTTTTTGTTTGGTGTTATAGTGACCCATAATCTACGTTTTTCAGATAGTTTCTGAGCTTTTCGTCTGCTACAAGATGGCAATTGAGTCCTGTCGTCGCACCATTCTGCTGACCCTTGCAATAGGGGTAAGTACCTGTTCAGTGTGTATGCCATCAGCTTCCGAATAACTACCGTGAGATGGTGCTTAAGTAAGAATTGTCATGTATTTTTTCTCCCAAGGCTGACACTGAAGAAGTATGTTGCACTTTTGCTACTGGGAATGGACCGCTTGTAGCTTAAGGGTTTGGAAGCCTGAACCTGCAAAAAAAACACTGTCCGGTATACTCATGAAAATTTGAGCATGACGTGGTTTTCAAGAAACCCAAGCGTCTCTCTCTCCAAGAGAAAGGGAGGAAGAATGAGAGAGAGAGAGAGAGAGAGAGAGAGAGAGAGAGAGAGAGAGAGGGGGGGGGGGGAGGACGCCGACAATCTAAAATGCGCCAGTGCTGAATCCCGTTACTTGCAGCTAGTGGCACACTGAACAACTGCATACGCCCTCCCCCTTCCCACACTCTTTCGACGCCTACCCGAGCCATGACGTCATCCGTCTCGGGATTCCGTTCAATGGAGTCGGTCGCGCGCGCTCCTAACCACCTCCGCCTCGTGCCGTCGTGGATCATAACCGCGCTCCGACCATGCATTATCAGGCCGTGGAGTGCGTCCTAGTCGCGGCTTGCAGGGACCCTCCCGGCGACACTGGCCGAGCATTATTATGGCGGTGCTTGCCACTGATAATGCTAGTCATCCCCAGCTCCCGTCGTGATTTGTGGAGCGGGTGGGATAATTGATACTTGTGGTGGCAGCTTCTATTATGCTGAAATTAAGCATACAGCCAAAGCGTATGAGTTATGCATGTCTGCATCAGAGGTATGCTTCGCCGCCGTTGATTTGCGGAAATGTGTTTGCATGATCCACTTTTGCCAGCGTTTTCGGCCGCTGCTTCGCCTACCTTACGGGCTAGCGTGCCTCCGCATGGTTCCTGTGGTGCGTTGCAGTCCCAGGCTTTCTCGTTACGTACCTCGCGCGCCTTGCAGTCGCTAGCGTCGTTATGTGCCTGTACCACGCCGCGCTCCCAGGCCCCGATTCCGTTTCTGTGTGGCCGTGCAGTCTTCGGTTATGTACGGACGGTCTTCCAAAGTGGTCGGTCTGTATGAAGCCTTCCCAAGCAGCGGCTGGTCTGTGTAAAGCCTGCCAGAGCGGTGAAACTTTCCCGAGCGGCCAGCCCGTGTTAAGTCTCCCAGAGCGACGGCTGGTCTGTGTAAAGCCTGCCAGAGCGGTGAAGTCTTCCAGAGCCGTCGGTCTGTGTGAAGCCTTTTGGAGCTGCGGCCGGCCCGTTTGAATGAGCCCTCCAGAGCGGTGGCTGGTCTGTGTAAAGCCTGCTAGAGCGGTGAAGTATTCCACAGCGGCCGGTTTGTGTGGAGCCTTCCAGAGCGGCGGCTGGTCTGTTTAAAGCCTGCCAGAGCGGTGAAGTCTTCCAGAGCGGCCGGCCCGTGTGAAGCCTTCCAAAGCTGCGGCCGGCCCGTGTGAAGCCTTCCAGAGCGGCGGACGTTAAAGCCGGGTGGTATGGGCCGGCGGCCGGGCCGGGCATCAATGAGTATCTAGGAGAGCGGCTGCAGCCGTGGGCCATCCGTCACGCGCCGTAGCCAGCCCGCCGGCTGCAGGCCACTCTGTGCGGCCGGCCGTGCCTCGTTGCCGGGCCGGGCAGCGCGCTGGTGTTCGTGACGTGCCCATCCACAACACGGCACGCTGCTGGAGCGGGTCAGTCGAGGGCCTGGGTGGCTGGTTGGTGATGGGGTTAAGTGGTGCTGGGACCGCCCGACCGGAGAGATTGTGGCTGATTCAAGTGCATTGTTGACATAGCACAGCAATATCGAACTGCTCAAAAACCAGTTAACTGGGACTAGCTGCGATAAAAAGCTAAGCTTTCACCACTAGTGAATAGGTTTTGTCACCGATCAAGCGACGAGTAACCTGTCGAGCAAACACTGCAGCGTTTGCCTCCGACAGAGGCATGAAGCCGTTGAGCCCAGTGCCTCTCTGATCGCTCTGTACCGTTGCGGCGCCGAACTGGGTCGAGTCAGACGATCGTCGCTGGCCACCGTCGCCCGTTGGCGTGGTTTTGCGAACGGTGCGGCGGCCGCCGCCGTCCCATATTTCGTGTTCGATATACCCGCCTGGCACATTTCGCTTGGCGCGCCGCGGCTTCCCACCGGACCGCTGTCTGCGGCCGTCTGGCTGGGGTATGCAGCTGTCGCGTGGGGTCTGTTTACGGTAATGGCCGATACTTTGAACCGCGGTGTTCCGGGCGCACTGAGCCATGCGAGCCTTGAAACTGTGGCCTAGAAGCGGCAATTTGTTCTTGCTACTTTCCATCGATTACGAGAGTTCGAAGTCAAGGGAGTATAGATATGCGTTTAGGTTAACCTTAGCTTCTTGCCTACAGCCACACTCTTACCAAGTTGCTTTAAAATCTTAAGCAGCTTTGCCAGTGTCGCTGAGCCAGCTGCCATTCCATTGTAGGATCTTCCGCACTGTCTTAGGTTACAGAGAGAAGACATCACGCTGCACACTGAGCCAAGATCTGAACCGTTCTTCATAACCGTCATTAGTATACGTGAACTTCTATGGCACATCGAGAACCATCCCAAGTTCCAAGACTGTCAATGGTCAGGAGTAAGAGTGTCAGTGGGCACGACAGTTCAAAGCACGAAAGATGTCACCTGTTCCACCAACAGAAAGGGAACCCACCACTACCCATCAAACTTGACCACGCCATTTCCCTGGGGCATAGTGCCCTGCACCACGTCGGCCCTCTCCCTGCAGCAGGGCTCAGTTTCGCCAGCCGTGGTCGTCGCGGCGCTGCTGCCGTCGGGCCCGGTCAGCACGGGACGCCCCTGCCTGAGCGGCGTCCGGCGCGCGGGTAACGGTGTCCGCCCGCCGCCGACAGCCGCCGGCGCTCGTCACAGCCGGCACTGCACCCCGGCGGCGCGGCCGACGCCTGGTCACGCTGCACCCCTAGGGTGGGAGTGAAACTCAGGTCCGGTGCGCTGCCGGGGGCGAATGGGATCCGGGTCTGGTGCGCTGCCGGGGGCGAATGAGATCCGGGTCCGGTGCGCCACCGGAGTGCGAGTGGGATCCGGGTCCGGTGCGCTGCCGGGGTGCGAGTGGGATCCGGGTCCGGTGCGCCACCGGGGTGCGAGTGGGATCCGGGTCCGGTGCGCTGCCAGGGTGCGAGTGGGATCCGGGTCCGGTGCGCCACCGGGGTGCGAGTGGGATCCGGGTCCGGTGCGCTGCCAGGGTGCGAGTGGGATCCGGGTCCGGTGCGCTGCCGGGGTGCGAGTGGGATCCGGGTCCGGTACGCCACCGGGGTGCGAGTGGGATCCGGGTCCGGTGCGCTGCCGGGGTGCGAGTGGGATCCGGGTCCGGTGCGCCACCGGGGTGAGAACGAGATCTGCTCACGACATTACAAAAAACAAAACGGAACTGAAGTTCACCGATGCACTCAACAAATTATGTTGTTAAGCGTGGCAGCCGCTGGCGCCGACCGTCACGGGCGACGCCACCCCCCCCCCCCCCCCTTGGCCGCGGGTCGGGCTCCGCTGGCGTTATCGCGTCCAGTGTCGCACCCCGCGTTGCGAGCAGGGTCCGGGCCAGATGTATATTCGTGTCGTGAGCAGCGTCCGGGTCAGACAAACCACCGCGGCGCAGCCAGGTCTCGGCCAGGTGCCATGGGTGGTGCGAGCGGGGTCCGAGCCAGGAACAGCACTGTGCTTGTACGGCGATCCTCCGCTTAAGCTGGATCCGGGCGCAGTATGGCTCAGGGACGTGACTGGAGAGCGCGATCTGGCGTAGACCACACAGCGGATCATCCGCAGCATCTGCATGAGCTCGATGCGAGCCGGCTCCCCGCTGTTTCGCGAGTGCTGAACCCGAACCTGACACCGACGCGATGGTAACCTTATATCAAACATGACTGGCATGCAGACTGATACCGAACCAGCCCGCTACGGTATTGGGGTTATTTACAGCTCTCGCTTGTGCCGCCTGCGTTGTGCTGGCGTAAGGTGACATTTGCAAGAAGTGAGTTCATGCGATGTGAGGAGTTCAGCCTGCTGCACCTTTGATCCTGTTTTGCCTGGTTGCCTGCTTGGTGTAAACATAAAGCGTGATTGTTTAACTAATGGCCAGGCATGGCTGCACATATCAGTTCCTCCCTACGCCTATATATGAGACCAAGCCTTAAAATTGCTGATGAAGCTGTGAAGTGAGATCGATATCGAAGGTACCATTTCATGCCTTAATGCTTTGAAAACAAAGATGACATTAAGCCCATACTAGCACGTCAAAAAAGGAAAAAGTTGTTGAGAACTACCGGGTCCTTTGCATGTGGAACGAATCCATTTTTATATCTGTAACTCGTTTATAGTGCTATCTCCGTGTTATCTCTGTTAACGATTTCGTTTTTTTCGATTTTCATGACAGTAAAGCCCAACATGTGCGACACTAAAGCCGTGTACACCAAAAATGTGCCGAAATGCTCCCTAAAAGTTGTCACGTTAGTTCTCCCTTTCAGTTGTCTCGCTCTCCCTGCTTTCGGGGCCTTTCCTTCTCAAGAGCTCCATGGTTCTCTGGGAGCCCCTCTAGGAGCTCTTGTCACCCTCCTCCCTGCGTCCGCGGGTAGCAGAACATATTATCCTGCAGCACCCCTACTCACGGCGCAACGCCCTGCGCGGTACAGAGTCCCTCACCACTGCCGGCGTGTGGCTGGAGAGTCGCTGGGAAACCGGCCATTCCGCCGCACACTTCACAGTCAATTAGGCGGAAAGGGGCCGGCCGGCGGTGCGCCGGGCGCTCGGCCACCGCCGTCGACTCCGACGCGCTGATAGATGAGGCGACGCCGGCCGCGCCGACGGCGCATGCGCGAACAGGCGGCGACGTAACGGACGGCGTCGGCGGCGTCGCGCAGTGCGCCTAGCCCACTGACCGCGCGGGCGACAGGTGGCGTCCGGCGCGCTGCGCGCGCGACAACTGTGGCGCGGTTGGACAGCCGCGGCCGGCTCGCAGAACGACGACAGACTGCGGACGG